AGTTGAAATAGCTATGTGGAAGTCGTTCTGACCAATAATGGATAGTTTGGTCACAAAAAAATTCCCAAAGTGGAAAAATCTCGAAATTCCGCACCCTATATCTCGGTATTCATTCCTGTCAGGCCCCAAGTGTGCTGAATCGTTGGATTCAACTCTTCAGAGAGAATATAAATATGCAATAAATTACAGAGTGTTACATTTGAAAAAACATAAGTTTCATATGTCACACTTTTTTGAGACACACTGTAGAATGAAGAATGATTCCAAAATATGCATCTCTTGGACTTACAACTTCTGTAAAAATGTTTTTCTTCTATCTCTGATAGCAGAGCTGCTATCTCGATTTGTCACACTCTTGGTCCACCATGTATAATTTTGTGAATATAAATGTGTGTGTGGAGTATCTTCTTGGTTCGATAACAATAATATTCATTCCAAATCGTGATGAATATTTCAAAAATGGAAGAATAAAACAGGTTGTTTCATTTGACCATTGGAAATTGGTGATATTTCCGAAAAAACTGGAAATAACTTCTTTTCCAAAATATGTCATAAACAGTTGTCTATAGTGACCAATCTTTCTAATTCAAGGAATGAAGCTATAGAGAAACATGAAGAAACAGTCGGTAGTAAATACCAAACGTTTAGTGAAATAGGCCCTATAGGCACTATACATTCATCTAATAATAACTCTACAGAATTGTATAATGCTATAGTATATCAAATATCACTACCAGAGATTCATCAAGTCAAGTAGCTTGATATTTTAACAAACTACTTGACTTGACTTGAAAATCAAGCTCGTGGCAAATTACGTACTTGACTTGACTTGAATTTGAGATATTTATTACTTGACTTGAAATCAAGCTACTTGATAATACTTGATCTTGATACGCACGAGTCGCACGGCGTATATTTCTGCAAGCTCGCTCACGCTTAGACAAAATACGGGGGTTCCCCAAGATCCGCTTACGATGCCATTTTCATTTCATCAGTTATATACAGGGTGACTCACGGTCGATGGTAGGTTAGACGTTCACGTCTATGATAGGAACGCAACGCAGGATTTTTCTGAAAATTTCGCATCTCACATTTCATCACCGGTACTATCGATCTAATATATTTTCAAAATCACGACGTTGCCGCTTCTATAGAAAAGTAGGAACCACTTTGTTATTTCGAATTGAACACCCTGTATTTTATTGCATTTTCAGATTCTCCTTGAAGAGTTGATTTCATCGATACATCACACTCGGGGTATAGCGGAAAAGATTATGGAGATATAGAGTGCGAAAAATCGAGATTTTTCAACTTCAGGAATTTTTTGTGTATGCGAAATTTTCAGAAAAATCCCGCGTCGCGTTCTCCATAAACGTCTAACCTATGACATCGACCGTGAGTCACGCTGTATAGATACACAATAAAACTGCTGAAAATCAAGTAGCTTGATAGAACTACTTGATTTTTCAAGTACTTGATAAATAATTACTTGACTTGACTTGACATTAAAAAACTTTCGCTTGACTTGAACTTGACTTGATTTCAAGTCAAGTCAAGTCAAGTAGCTTGAATATCAAGTCAAGCCGTGAACTCTGATCACTACCACAAAATATTATGATACTCATAGTATAGTATGATATGGGTGATGCCTCGCTCACAAACTCACTCACTTCTCTGGAACACCGTAGAAAATCTGGCAATCTGGCTCTATTTCATAGATATTTTCATGGACGATGCTCTTTTGAAATATCAACAATTGTTCCTCCCTTGGCAGTCCCCGCGAGATTAGCCCGTCGAGTTGAGGCTTCGCACCCCTTCGTGGTTACTTTGGAGACCTGCAGAACATCTCTTTCCAAAGACTCGTTCATCCAACGAACAGCGAAGCTCTGGAACACAATGCCAAGGAAGGTGTTCCCCGAGGCATATAACCTCCAGAGATTCAAGAAGAACACAAATTCCTATCTTATTTCCTTTGGTTCTCACGATGTTCTCTCAAAATTACAGGATATCGCTTTTCGTGGGAACCAGAACGTAAAAAAAATAATACAATGTTCTTGTGGTATAAGTCGATGGATGTAGTGACTGGCGCCTATTCCACTAAACGTTTGGTATTCACTACCGACTATTTCTCTGAGTTAAGGGGAATATAGGGGTGTACCATGAGTCTGTGACACACGGTATGAACCCCAATAAATATAGTTGCTAGATTAATTATCAATATGTGCTAGAGATACGTCCCTCGAGAACCATTCGCCTAGGATGTTAATTAGGCTGGCGCGGATTAGAGAATCCTTCAGGAATCGTCCTTAACAAATCCATGAAATATGCATCCGACATAGCGCGCGGTTCGTCATTTCAACAAACAACAATCAGGAAACGTATTCGTCTCAATTAGCGCCGACCGCAATTCTTGCAAGTTGTATGTCTTTGGTTAACGCTGGGGCGCCTTCAGAGATCAACGGACCCCCCCAATGATAAATCCACTCCACCTACGAGGTTTACTCATAGATCCTGAACCTGCAACCGACACAAAAGTCGGCCATTTTAATACCGAAAGCAACTCTTGAATTCACATTTTTCTGCAACGGACACAAAAGTCGTCCATTTTGATACCAAAATTTGCTCTTAAATTGACGTTTCTATCACAGACATAAACATAGGTATCTTGCTAGCCAACACTTTCAGTTTACAACATCAGCTCCTAGGAACTGAGAAGGATGTCCTAGATGTTATCAAGAATAATAGTAGATTGTTTTATTAGGATCAAAAGTGATACTTTGTTTGACAAGCGAATTTTGCATTTGTGAGGCGGAGCGTCCAGCGAAGGCGTGGATTCCTGGGATAATTTTTTTTATCGCTTGGAGCGCACGAAAGGAAATCCCTATAATGTTCAAAGAACATCGTGCGTTCCTAGGGATGATAGGGACAGAAGGTAGGTATTGGAATTTTTTTTGAACTTCCGGAGATTATATGTTGTTGGGAATACTTCCTCAGGCAATGAATTCCAGAGCCTAGCCGTTCAATGGATGAAGGAGTTTTGATAAAGTGCTGTTCGACATCTTTCGAGGTTGACAACGAAACGATGTGCTGACTGGGTTTGTCTTGTTCGTCTGACTGGTATTGCTAGTGAAAGGATGATAGCAGAGATTTCCGAAGAACATTTCCCGTGGAAGTATCGATAGAAAAGTGAAAGGTCGCCGACCTTTCTACGGTGTTCCAATGATGTCGAAGAGTAAGAGAGTGTGGCGTCACCCACCAGGCGAATGGCTCTTCTCTGGATGGAATCTAAGAGCATCAGCGTATGTTTTGGTGCTGAATAACAAGTTGATTTAGGCCGACTTACCTATATCCAAAATCGTCTCGCTGAGTTGGTACAAGGCGTTGAAGTTTTCTTGTAAAAAATAATTTTTCTCATCAAAAGAGTAGGCTGAGATCGATATTCATGATTCTTGGCATGGCATGTTCTGTGACTGTGAGTCACGTTTGGAGATGTTTTGCATCATCATCAGTGACCTGCAAGTGTTTCAAACAACCATGTTGGCGTACAAATTTGGTGATAACTTTTCAGAGGTCAGACTAGAAACTTCCAGTTTTTTTTTCCAGAAAGATATTTCCATCAGAAATATTTTTTGTATTGTGTTAATTTTTGATAAGTCTCGAGGATTATTTGCAAATAAATAATTTTTGATCTAAGGCATCTTATGCATTTTTTAGAAAAATAATCTGGTTGGACAACAGATACTAACACGATACAAAAAATATTTCTGAAGGACATATCTTTCTGGAAAAAAATACTGGAAGTCTGCAGTCTGACCTCTCAAAAGTTATCGCCGAATTTGTACGTTAACATGGTTGTTTGAAACACTTGCGGATCACTGATGATGATCAAAAACATCTCAAAACGTGACTTACAGTCACAGAACATACCCTGCCGAAAATTATAAAAATCGATCTGAGCCTACCCTTTTTATGGGCGAAATTATTTTTTTCCAAAAAAACTTCAACGCCTTGTACCAACGAGACGATTATGGATATAAGTAAATCGGCCTGAATCAACTTGTTTATATCCCAGGAGTTCACAGTCGAGCCATGTCCCAACCTTTTACAGACACCCTGTATATCATAAGATTCTCAAAGTTTAAATGACAATTTCAAAACCCTACATATACAAAGTGTTGAGAAATTCGACCTACAACTCTTCACAGGTGTGACTTCTCGTGATCTGATGAAGATAAAGATCGAAATTTAAGGTCTTCAAGTGGTTAACATTTTTCGCAATCGATTATAATATTCGATTTCAACAGATTGTCAGATGTGTCAGTTCTTTTTTCACTTGAAAATGTTCAGAAAATCATTTCCTGAAAAAAATTCAAACTACACTGATGAAAAAGTTCTATTCTAAACCATAAGATGCGCATTGGTGAGCACTCTCTAATGGACACAGAAGAAGATTTCCCCGGCTAACGATTTTTGACGTGATGAGGCTTTATGACACCTGTTAAATTTGATGACATTCATGATAGCAAAAATGATAACAAAAATATTTTCTATGTGCCATACAGTATAAATATTTATAATATCAAAATATTTAGAACCATTCCTATATTTTTACAAGAATGTTTGCAAATCTGCGCAAAATCAACACCTTTTTCACTGTATGACACATAAAAAATATTTTTGTCATCATTTTTGTCAACATATTTGTCATCAAATTCAACAAGTGTCATACAGCCTTTTACGTTCAAGAATGTCCATACACTTTTTGAAAAATTCGATTTCTATGTTAACGTAGCACTTTCGGACTGAAGCAAGTTGCTTGAAAGCGTCTTCTATTGGCCTCAGGAATATGTGCTGGGATTTTGTACAGACCTTCAATGGACATCCTACCCTGTATAGAGTTTTTATAATAGAAAAAAAGTTTTTGAGGTATCTGCATATAAAAATATTGATAGTCAGATTCGATATTGTTTAATCAGCAAGAAATATCTCTTATATTGTAATTATATCGATTTTGTAAGCTGAGTACTAGAACTCTTTTGATTACTCTGATTATTCATGAATTTGTCATAAATCATTCTAGCCATAGCACAATCCTCAACCGCCATGCCCAATCCTTGAAATATAGTTATTTTCCTCTCATCAACTGTCATGAGATTGCCCTTGATCACTTCTCCAACTTCACCTTTGAACTTCATCCCTTCGTCAATCAAACCTTTCAGTTCTACCTTTGCACCATTCCAGTAATCAATGAATACATCCGAACAATCATATAGTTTTTTATCCAACTCACTGAAATGGGTATTACTTGCTCCCACTGCGTTTATATGGGCTCCTGGTTTGACCCAATCCGCAAGTACTACTGGCTCAGGAGAACTTGTAACAGTGATAATTACATCAGCTCCATCTACACACTCCTTTCTATCTCTGACAAATTTGAATATATCAGTTTTATAAGTCTCATTTAGCTCTCGTGCCAGGGCTTGCCCATTTGATACTGTTCGGTTCCAGATACGAATTTCTCCGAAATTGAAGAAATATTTGAAACAATGGGCATGGATTCTTCCTTGCTCGCCAGAACCAAAAATTGCTAGGATTTGACTCGATCCAGGTTTCAATTTCTTTCCGTAGATATGTTTGGTTGCTACAGCTGATGCAGCTGCTGTTCGCCATTTTGTTATTTCAGTTCCAGCAACAATTGCTTTGATGACACCAGTTTCTTCATCCATGTAGAAAATGTTGGCAATCAGGTTCGGTAGAGGCTTTGGCAATCGAGAGTTGTTGGGGAACACAGTTATTAATTTACAGCCCATCGCTCCGTATTGTGTGTCATCAAGATATCCAGGCATTGTGAAAAGTAGTTTATCTCTATTTAGAATTTTGATTTTAGATCTAGCAATCTGATCAACACGACCTTCCGAAACTCTTCTCATGGAAACTTCAACAGCATGGAAGGTTTCATCCCAAGTGAGAAGTTTCAAAACCTCAGTTTCGTTAATATAGATCATTCTGTCAAACTAATTCCACTTCACTTCAATGTTCACTATGATCACGATACTGTGATGTCAAATTACTGAGATCAGTGATTTATATTTTCTGCACGTTTATCTCATAAAATATATTGAGACTGACTACAAGAATCGAACTACCTAGAAAGGTATGTTGTGAGAAGGAATGTTTGGAGCATACTGGTAACTGCGATATTTATATTTTCTCAGCTTCTCTATTATTCGTCATTATAACAGTGGCGTCACTATGAAAAACATATCTAAGGAACGATATAAATACTTATTGGACGAATATATATCGACTTTGTTTTATTCATGCCATATTCCTATGGAAGAAACAAATCATTTTCATCAAGATAGCTTTTCCACAGGTACACCACTAGTAGGCATTTAACAATTCATTAGTTCGGAAGATGTTGGACATTTTGAATACCATCGCCACTGCAAGGAATGCAACAATGATAAATAGCCGCAAGTAGGCCTTGGAATTATTTACTGCTGATGAAAGTTGTCGTGAGGTCAGAAGGAGGTTTTCATTGTGTATAAACAACTGAACTAACCATACACAAACAAATTTTGTTGATTTCAAATTCATGAATTTCGAATAGGTCTATCATTTTCTGATATCAAACGGTGGGACTTGACGCAATTGAGTTGTCATATAATGGTCATTAAATATGGAAATTCGAAACCCCCGATGTATCAAAATTTTTCTGAGAAAACTGTTCATCTGACATTCTTTGACTGATGAATTCAACTGCAATGATAGGAATCTTTCAGATTGGGAATAGTATATTATGTAACAAATGTTGTAAACATCCTCTTAGTAGCAGCAGAGCGGAGCGAGTGTTTAGTAAACGAGTGTCTAGACGAGTTTATAAAGACGTTACATACTATACTTTTTCTACGAACTCATAATACCTCTCTTGGACAAGATCATAATAAACATATTACTGAATGCAACTGCATGCAACCAATGAGACATATATATTAGCAAACTCAGAGTCATATGAAAGAGCATAATCAACCCTACAAAACGCTTATTTGGTTTTGAATTTTTGACTTTTGCTGTCGCCGCTAGATGACGTTAACTGAAATGTTAGCAAATTTTAGAGTTAAAAAAAAATGAATGTAATGGTATATAAATTTTTATATTCTTTGAAAGAGGATAAATTTCCCTATAATTTAATGAAAATAATTTATCATCTACCTTTTTTTGGATCGTTGATATTGACCATAATATAATTTTATTACATCAAAAAATGGCACGCCACTGTTTTTTTTCAAAATAAAAATCAGTTCTGTAATCTCTCATTAGTTGCTAACAAAAAGAACCTCCCGACTTTTTTTCGTTAGACAAACGGTTTTGGATTGAAAAAATAAAATAGGTTTACATGGGGCGCCCATATCTGAAATAATTTTGAACCAGTAAGTAAACCACTTATTTTACTCGAAAATAATTTCCAGCAATTTCTCTTGGCGACTTTTATCATGTTTTTTTTTTCCTCAAATCTATACGACCAATATCTTATGAGATATGGCCGTTCGCTACCCTTAACTGATCACCCTGTACAATCTGAACTCGAATGAGCCATTTTCCACTAATTGAAATACTCCGAAGTGATGAGTGAGTTCAATTTGCCTAACAATAATTATTCATTATTCTAGATTTTTTTTGTAATTTTCTCTCCTAATCTCTATGAAATAAAATATGGATATTATTTCAATAAACGTGTAGTAAGGACAAATCAGATGATGCCTCAAAATGTCACTGCGTTCAAATAATTTTCCTATCAGAGAGAATGATGAAGTGATATAACTGTTGATGGTATATAAAACTATATAACTTTGAGTATCAAGGGAATCATCACCTAATTAGTGGAAATCAAAAACAACAATACATTTCTAATTTTAAACTCATTGATTGAACAATGAATCACAAAAATAACATTGAATCAATTTTGACTAAAAACATATGGATTACACTGTTCCGTTGTATCTCAAGCAAAAAGTACAAGTTGCAGAACAGCATTGATCATCACCTACTTGACCTAACAGCTGATTCGCGACCGTTTAGAAAAATAATGCATTATTATAAAAAAAGTATTTCATCATCATTATCATCATTATCATCATTATCATCGTCATCATCCATATATTTTTTTTATCGCTTGGAGCGCACGAAAGGGGAATCCCTATAATATTCAAAGAAAATCGTGCGTTCCTAGGGAGGATAGGGACAGGAGGCAGGTATTGGAATTTTTTTTGAACTTTTGGAGATTATATGTTGTTGGGAATACTTCCACAGGCAATGAATTCCATATCATCCATATCATCCATATCATCCATATCATCCATATCATCCATATCATCCATATCATCCATATCATCCATATCATCCATATCATCCATATCATCCATATCATCCATATCATCCATATCATCCATATCATCCATATCATCCATATCATCCATATCATCCATATCATCCATATCATCCATATCATCCATATCATCCATATCATCCATATCATCCATATCATCCATATCATCCATATCATCCATATCATCCATATCATCCATATCATCCATATCATCCATATCATCCATATCATCCATATCATCATTATCATCATTTCTGAGTTACAACAATCATAACTTTGTCCTCCTAGTATATTTATCCATCACGTTCAGTATAATAATTCTGAGCCATCATAAGTGATGCTTTTTGGTTCGTAACACAAAAGTATGCTAATCCATAGTCCTTTCAATCGAGTGCAGTGAAGATACCGCAGCTTTCAACTTTGGACTTGACGAGGCGGATATCTCATAATATATCTACATCAATTCATCAATGAATGTCGCACAAGCTTATCATGATGATGGTTGGTCATGTGATTTTTGGCTTACACTTGCTGATTACTGGTCAATAATGGCATTCGAAGATTTCACGCGAGTAGAATAATACTAGGCTCTCTCTACAACTTATCAAATACAAAAGTTTTTGGAATCATAGGGTGACCCGGAACCAATTTACCCCCCTGTATCTTCGTTGTTATTTTGTATGGATGTTTCAAATTTGGTACTTCGATTTGATGTTATGAATGTACAATTAAGCAAGTATCAATCCAAATATGTCACTTCCGGTTTGACCGGAAGCGCATCCAATTTTCATATTTCGAATAGGAATTATTCTTTCTTCGAAAATTACAATTCGGTATAGAATAACCTTTACAATGACATATCACAATCATACTTTCAATTTACAATCTGCTGGTATAATTGACATTTTATAAAAAAAATACTTTTTGTGTTCCCCTCGTAACGGAACATTTTCATGAAAGTATGCTGTGGAAGATTATTATTGTAATGTATTTTGTATTATTGTAATTTTCAAAAAAAAATACTTCCCATTCGAAATATAAAAACTGGATGCGCTTCCGGTAAAACCGGAAGTGTCATAATTGGATTGATACTTGCTGAATTGTACATTCATAACATCAAATCGAAGTATCGAATTTGGAACATCCATACAGAATAACAACGAAGATACAGGGGGGTAAATTGGTTCCGGGTCACCCGGTATAGGTAGTTTTATATCGGAACATTGCTAAATCTAATGAAATACATATAATGTTGTTGTTGTTGTTCCATCTGGAACGTTTCGGGAAATGTTCCTATAATTATTGAAATGTTAGATGTGAAAATGATGAGCATAGATGAATGATGAAGATACTTTTTGTTGACAGGGAAATGTCATAGATATATCAGGTATTACGCTATTTTATGAGAAATTGAGCAAAAAAGCATGCGGAGTATAAAAAATACACCGTTCGATTAAGCTTTTTGTGCACATTTCAAATATGCGTACGCGGATTTTCAAAATTCGAAAATACAGGGTAATCTTTTTGGGGTCCAGAAATATCGAAATCTAATCCGTACTTGGAATTTTCACGTCACTGATAGATGAGTCGCTTGAATGGACGAAGGAAGAATTTTATACCGAATTTTGAATATCCTGGGTCGTTCGTAAGTAATGTCCTTACGAAGAATTGAACAACATTAATAAAACATCCTATATATCGGATATAAAACTTGCGAGACTCTATACGAATAGTGGCATATTCAGAACCACCTCGACGAGCTCTACCCACCGTTGAAGTTTCACCCTTTCCGAATGGGACACCCTGTATAACACCTCATTTGAATAATCTCTTCAATTCTGAAAACAACCCTCTGTATACGATAAGGAATATATACAGGTTGTCCGCTAATTGATGGTACACAGCACAACTGCAGATTCGCTGGATGAAAATATTGAGATTTACTGAAACTCACCTCAGTTCAATAGTTGATAATAGCATAGATACAGGGTGTCAAACTTTCAATTCGCATTACGTTTTTTCTCAATAATTCATCAACACGGTGACAAAACGGCTCGGAATTTGACAATTAGGGGTTTTCTGGGGTCAGAAATTCAAATACGTTTTTAGTCTGGATGTCACTTGTAGAGGAAGCCACTTACGGTACCTACATTAAATCTCTTCAGAACGATATACCTTTTTTGTGTCACTGTGTATTAGGCTTGATGTTGGGGATTATGTATTGAACATTTTCTGTATGTAGAAGAGGTATACTTTGCAAATTTCTCTCCGAGTATAGCCATTTTCGAAATATCTGCGTATCAATTATTCGATATAAATTCGCAAGTTCCCAGTTGCATTTTTATTGAGTAGGCTGTACTCAAATCAGATGTAATAGCAAACGATACGTGAAAAATGTTGAATACATAAACTTCAACATTCGAACTAACACACCGTGACACAAACAAGCTAAATCATCTTAAAGAGATTCAATGTACCATAAGTGGCGCACTTTTTTGTGTCACGGTGTATCATGAATGATGAAGTTTATTTATTCAACATTTTTTTACGTAACATTTGTTATTGCATCTGATTAAATCACAGCTCACTTGGGAATAATGCAACTCCGAATTTGAG